ATTGGAGAATTACTCTGAAATATTTGCAAGGAACAAATATGACACTGGAAAAGTAAAAATGTATGAAGCCTGTATAGATTTGCAAATTGAAAAGTATTGTTATAAAAGACCATATAGATGTTCAGTTCAAGATAAGATCGAAATAGAAAATCAAATTTCACAGCTATTAAAACACGGATTAATTGAGGAATCTTATAGTCCTTTTGCCGCACCGGTTACTTTAGCTTTTAAAAGAGATGAAGGAAAAAGAAGTAGACTATGCATAGATTTCAGAGATTTAAATAAAATAATTATACCTCAATCACAACCATTTCCACTAATAGAAGACCTACTAACTAAAACAATAAATTGTAATTATTTTACAACCATGGACATAAATTCAGCATTTTGGTCCATTCCTTTGAAAATAACGGATCGATACAAAACTGGTTTTGTAACTCAGGAAGGTCATTACCAATGGACTTGCTTACCCTTCGGACTGAAGACATCTCCAGCCATATTTCAACGGATTTTGGGAAATATTATGAGAAAACATGGTCTGACAGGATTTGCAGTGAATTTCATCGATGACATATTGATATTTTCTAAAACATTTGAGGAACATATCACACATATAAAAAAGTTGCTGGATGCTATTAGAGAAGAAGGCTTCCGACTAAAATTAACAAAATGTAAGTTTGCACATGATTCTGTCAAGTATTTGGGTCATATATTACAGAAGAATACAATTACACCTCTAAATGATAATTTAATTTCAATAAAAAATTTCCCTACTCCTCAAAATAGAAAGCAAATACGACAATTTTTGGGGAAAATTAACTTTTATGGAAAATATATTCCAAATGTCTCAGTAGTTCTTGATCCACTCCATAAATTGCTGAGAAAAGATCAGAAATTCAATTGGACAGAACAGTGTGAGGATGCATTCCGGAAAATGAAAGATTATATATGTTCAAAACCAATACTGGCCATTTACGATCCACAAGCACCGATATTTATTTATACAGATGCCAGTTCCATTGGAATAGGAGCAGTCTTGAAACAAATTCAGCTAAATGGTGAAGAAAAACCCGTAGCATACTTTTCCAAAAAAATTAATGAATCACAGAAACATAAAAAAGCTATATTTTTAGAATGTTTAGCAATTAGAGAGAGTATAAAGTTTTGGCAACATTGGTTGATTGGAAACCATTTCACTATCTATACAGATCATAAACCCCTTGAGAAGTTAAATATCAGAAATAGACCTGATGATGAATTAGGAGACATGTCACACTATTTGTCACAATATAATTGTGAAATAAAATATAACCCTGGAAATAATAATACTGAAGCAGATTGTCTCAGCAGAAACCCAGTATTGGAGGTTAATGAAAATAATGATGATATATTAAGAACAGTTAATATTATTGATATTGATGACATAAGAAATGATCAAGAGAAAAATGTGGGATTAAAAAATTTGGGAAAGAACATTGTTTTTGAAGATGGGATTTATTACAGAAAATGTGGAAAAAATAGGAAGAAAATTATTCTAAGTGAAGCTTACAGTAAAATTATAATAAAGAACACACATGAAGAATATTGTCATACTGGAATAAATCAAACAGAATCAAAAATAAAACCCTTTTATACAGCCCCAAATTTATCGGAAAATATTAAAAATATATGTAAAAACTGTGAAATATGCATAAAGAATAAAACAAGGTTAAATAGAAAATATGGATTTATGTCACAATTGGGCCCAGCTACAAGACCTTTCCAAATAATGTCACTGGACACAATAGGAGGATTCGGAGGACAAAGATCAACAAAACGATATTTACACTTACTAGTAGACCATTTTACCAGGTACTCGTATATCTTATGTTCCAAGAATCAAAATGCCCGAGATTTCATCAAACTCTTAGAGAAAATTCCTAAGGAAGAAATAATAGACATCTTGCTTGCTGATCAATATCCAGCTTTGAATTCGATGGAATTCAAAAATTACCTTAGAAACCGAAATATTCAATTAATATTAACAGCAGTTGATGCACCATTCTCGAATGGGTTGAACGAGAGGCTAAACCAAACTCTTGTGAATAAAATAAGGTGCAAAATGAATGAATCAAAAGGTAAAACAAATTGGTCAAGACTAGCAGAGGAATGTAGAAATAAATACAATGAAACAAACCATTCTGTAACAGGATTTTCTCCTAAATATTTGCTTTGTGGTGAGTCTACAGATTTATTACCTAAAGAATTGAAAGAAAAACAGTTATTAACAAGGAATTTGGAAGAAGACAGGAAAATAGCTCTACAAAGGTCAATAAAATCAAACGAATATAACAAAACTTTATTTTCCAAGAATAGAATACAACATGAATTTAAGGAAGGGGATATGGTATATGTTGACTATGGAAATAAATTAAACAAAAAGAAGATGGATGAAATTAGAATCGGTCCCTTTGAAATCGAAGAGAAAATATCGGATTCAGTTTTTAAAATAAATACTGGTCGTGGAACAAGATGTATTGGACTATATCATGTCACGAAACTCATACCTATGCATAAATATGATTGTTAATATTATTATTATTTTTTTTTTTATTTCGAAGGGGGGTGATGAAAGCCTCCATGCTTTGCATTGTCTTTGGATAAGGTGACATACGTGTCATAAGACAAACGTCTAATAAAATGTTGTAGCTACAAATTGTAATATTGTAAAGAATTAATTTTATTTCGATAATATAGGATTGTTATTTTAGTTATTTAATTTAAAGAATTTAAGTGAGGATCGACGGGCTAAAGCAGTGACAATTAATTGTCGATTCTCTATTGTTATAGGTTTGTATTCCGAGGTTGCTTAGTTTATTATTTTTTATTAAAATATTGTTATTTTATTTAAATAAAACTCTATTGTTATAGATGAATCAAATTATTTCATTGCTGTCTCGAATCCTCATCTTATATATATCTCGAAGTAACGTAGTAACGTAGCTCGTAGCACTTCGTAGCAAGTTACTGGACTACGCGCTACGCATACTACGCGTACTACGGCGAAACAAATAAACTTTCGAATTGTTGTTTCTGTTGTAAGAATGAACGGACGACAAACTTCATAAATAAACATGCGAAGGTTGTTACATAAACTTATGTTTTATTTTATCTATTCAATGCATCAGGTAAGCATTGCCATTTTTTCATAACAACCAGAAATCTGAATTTATACTAACACAAATATATTCCAATGTTCTAAATCATATAAAGTTCCATTCTATGGTGTATCTCTACACCTTTAGTGTACATTTAGTTTTGTGAAAAACTAACACACATCCCATCAGACTTTCTTAGTGTGATAAGATTTATTAGTAATTATTAATTTATTTATCTACTTAACTAAATATTAATAAATTGACATACATGTTACTTCAATACAGATATATTTTGGCTAGAGGTTGGCTGAATCATCGCGCTAACTATCCACTGTGTACTAGTAAGCAAGTATATATTTATATATTATGTATATATGTATGTATGTAGGCATATTGTACTCATGTGTAGGTATACATTATAATTAAATTTATTTATGTATGTATATCTCCGAAATATATTAGTTTATCTTTCATTGTTAAATAAAATCACTGCTTGCCTCTTGCACCTACCATTTACTCTTCTCTGCATCACCCAAAGGTCAGACTGGTAGAAAATGCCTGCGGCATTAAGTCCACCTTTTTGTACATTTTGTGCATGAAGCATTTTAAATAAATAAAATAAAATAAATAAATATTTTTTTTTTGTTTATTTTAACATTAAGTTATCGAACAGAACTTACAGTTGTAAGTAAGTACCACGGTGTGGGGCGACTGGTGTCGTTACTGTGACCAATCGATTGTTAGGACACGCTCGGACACGGAGCGGGACAAGTGGACACATGCTGCTGTTACCCTTTCTGACTTTGTGACTTCTAGTTTAGGTGATTACCATCTGGAAAATAATGAAGTCCAGGTGTTATTTTAACTGCATACTTTCTTTAACAGGATGTGTTCACTTTGCGATGGTGTGGAAATTATTGACATCCAGTCAATGAACTAGATTTGACTAAATTATTCCAATTAGGACATTTACTGTTCCTAATTATTACAGAAAGTTATAAAAACAAGTACCTACATCAGTCAGTTGTTAAGACAATTGGGTTTCGTTGAAAATATTAGTTGTTTTTTCTATTGATAAGTATGGATCGATTTGTAAGTGATTGTTAGAGTCGCAATATTACAATACGTTAGCGTAATGTTCCCGGTTGTCCGGCTGTACAATAAATAATAGATTACTTTCAAAACATTAATAAAGTTAACACGTCGACTGACCTCATAATGTGTCTGCCAAACTCGCACCCTTTACAAAACACTACCATTCGGAATCCGTCACGCACCATCGCAAACAAATAACATACCGAGACTGTAAACATCCCTTCACCGTACATTGCCGGCTATCTACCGAGCTTGGGCTGAGCTGTAGTTGTTACAGAGTAATGTATGCTGTGCAACAGTGTTGCAACGTTAAAGTGTTTCTCGGTAGATCCATGAGCGAACCGCTCTAAATTTAATAATTCATTGTCGTATTCATTGGCGCCAAATTCAATTACCCGTCGTCCCAGAGGGCTCGCCCCCGCCCCCGCGCGCCCCGCAGCCCGCCCCCGCCCGCGCGGTCCGCCGGCCGGGCGGCCGTCCCGAGGGATGCGCTCGATCTATTCTATTAACCCGCCACCGCGCGCCTGTTTACTAATTCATTTGGCAATCACATTCGGTAATTATGTGACAAATCCCCGAGCGAGTGTTGTGTCGTGTTGTCACACTACTTGTTAACTGGATTTGGGAGCGGGCGGCGATTTGCGCGGGTACGGCGGGCGGCGATTGTTCGCAAGTTTGTGAGGCCGAGCCAGCGCGCAGCGGACGAGTGGGCGAGTAAGTGAGCGAGTGAAATGGACTGATGTTAACGACAGTTTGTCTTGTTGTCAGGAGTGTCGTCGTTGGAGGCAGCGAAAGATTTCACAGTCGACGGTCTCACCGGGTACAACGGCAAGAAAAAGAAGAAAAAACGTAGACACAGGTAACTAATTGAGCACTAGTGTGGTACATAAACATTTTGTTACAACTATTACGGCTACTTATGCTTACTTATATTCTGCAACGCTTCAACAAAAATAGCACACTACAAACTTTGTTTATATTGATAAGGTCTCGTTATCGAGAATAATCTATGTCACCTCTCGATATCGAAACATACTTACGGTATATAGATAGCGACATCGAGATCTTAATGAAACTTACAGACGTTTCAGTCATCATAACCTTTAATACACTTGTTAAAACTTAATTCTAAATTGTAAAATCGCAAAGAACAGTACAAATGATAGTTTTAGTAAAGAATTGATGTTATGAAATGAAAAAGTGTACGTCGACTCTCGGTGCAGTTAGTTATTTTTATCGATCAGAATATTGGTAGAGGTACATAATGTAAAGAAACAATGTGTTAAGTACCTACTCAGAATAAATAATCGACTCGTTATTTAATTAAATTCTAAGTTAATTTTTCTTCTAGATTCACGAAGAATGTTTTTAAAACGTTAGGAAATAAGAACTCGTTAATTTTAGTCTATGTTTAATAATTATACAAAATGGCTTTAATTTAAATAAATAACAATTAACTTGAGACGCATAGCAACTAGTAATAATTTACGTATTTAATTTGCAAGGGTATGGAAAACTAGATGGAACAAGACGTAGGTACTTGGAGGAAAATGGAGGAAGTTTTCACTTTTCCGTTTTTCTTTAGTAATAATTTTTTTAAAAATTGTTAAATAATTTTATCAACGTATGTTAGTCATTCGTTCACTTGTGCTTTTAATTGTTTTGAAAGAGGAAGGGAAGATATTCAACGGTTAGCTTGGTTTTCAAGCGACCAAGATATCAAAAAGAACTTTTACCTAGTAATAAATACTCCTTACATATGAAGTACTACCCAAAACCCTTCAGTATCATAATTATAAAGTATATCGTGGTGAGTCTAACAGTTGGCATATTAACTTGTTTTGCTTCTCAGCCGAACAATCTTCACATCGTACCAACTGGACGAGCTGGAGAAGGCGTTCAAGGACGCGCACTACCCCGACGTGTACGCGCGGGAGATGCTCTCCCTCAAGACTGACCTGCCAGAAGACAGAATCCAGGTGAGCGCATAGCAGACGTATCAGGCCACTTGTGGAGACTAGTAGGAACTGCGGCGTTTTTAGAGATATAGAGATATTTGTTTTAATGTTACCAACGTATGTCGGGGTGATTTATTGGTTTTTTGCGCTGATTATAGTTAATTGAGTTTTTATGCGGCAACTGATTTTATTAATCAGACCTACAGCTACACCACAATAAGACTTGTTACGTAATATTTATTTTCACATGAATAAACTAAAATGTTTCATTACTTTATATTCTTCTAAGTCTCTTGAGTAGTAGGATCGAAAAATGCCAGACTTTTTAAATGTAATCGTTTAAAAATTGAGTTTACTTCCTTCTAACGTTACATCAATTAGAATCGGATCACAACATTCGTCCCACTGAACAACAATAGCGAGGCAACATAATAGCAATGGCACAGTCTGCCACACCGTGCTCTGTGGCGTGGTGGGGCAAAAAACCGTACCTTTATAACAAGATTACTTCAATTGCCATCGATTGATGTCGCAGTGTAACATGATACTTACTGGCAACAAATATAGGATAGCTACGTGCGAATTTATTTACCTACATGGATAGTTTTTTAATGAGTTAACAAGATTGTTAAGCTTTACTACGTTAGTGGCCAGTTAATGCCATTAAATAATCTTCCGTGCAAATTATGTTGTGGATGGAAAATAAACTGATGACTTTGATTTTTTATTAACTTTGACCAATATGGATTTAGGCCAAGGATAGTCAAATGATTCTCGTTAACTAACGTATCCTACTTACATACTTTAAATAGATTTGTAATGTAATACAGGATACTAATATTAGTCTTTGTAGTTAGATACTAGGTCGGACAAAAATAACAGCATTTTAGTTTCCAGTAGGTTACTGAAGTGCTATAATATTCTTCAAAAGATCTTTTTATGGTCAGCGTGGGACAACAAATTGGCCAGTTCACTGATGCAAACACACAGTTAAAGCTTAATTGGGACATCACCATAGGTAATTTAACCCACGACTCTATTAAATCCCTGCAGTTCTCATTTTTTGCGTCCCCGGTGTGCATTTGTTGCCCAATAGCGGAGTGCACGTCAGTCCACATCAATCGCTGTTGACGTGAATTCGACACTCGATCCTTGCAATACGATATTTTGTGCAAACAATTGCTTAAAGATTTCGCGGAAGGAAGTTTTTTTCAACAACAATTAGATTGCACGCACGATTGAATTGCACAGTTTTTGTGTATTGCCAAGCAAATCTAATTACCTATTGAACGTTTTCTATGAATGCAATGAAGGCAATGCTTTGATATTGTTTTTTACATTTCAGCAATCATTGTTGGGGATGTCAATAAATACTTAATGTATGTCAATCTTTACTTACCTATAAAGAGAGTAATACAATTCTGACTACAGGTAATCTTCTAAGTCTAATACTTCGGTATTTCAATCAGTGACTCGTGATCTGGACTTGAACGGAATCAGTAGTGGCCGGGGTCAATGGTCACGCACTTTCGTATTAATAATTCCTCGATTTAAATTTCCCTAATGTGAAATATTGCTTCACTTGATTATATTTCTGGTGTTTAAGCATTGGCTATTGCGTTGACAAATTAATTAAACTGTTTGTGTAGAAGTGATGAGTGCCGGTACCTGCTCACTGCGTGGTTGTGTAGTGTAGGTACCTGCCTAGTTGTCCCAGTAATTGCTAGTCATAATTATTATTAATAGTTTTTCCGTTCGCTGGCAACACACAACAAGGGCTCAAGTGTCGCGCCTTCCCTACTCGGAAGCTGCGGGGAAAACACAAATATGGCCACCCCCACGACTACCACCCCCCTACCCCCCGCCCCGCTAGCAACCCGCGCCCTCCACGCACCCGGCAAACACCGCACATTTATGAAAATTTCATTTCCAAACTCACAGTCCTCATACCAAACTAAAATAAACCCTAATCTGACCGCGTAGAGTTTATTGCCACTTAATTTTCTCAAGCAGGAAAATTTCACGTCTTACACCAAAATGGAATCTATTTCATACGTTTCAAAGTACGTTTTACAGTTGGAGTGTAAAGTTATGAGTGATGGTAGTTGAATTTTCGGTATAATGGCTTACTGGGGATTAGGTTTCCCCAATTTTGGGGCGCGTACGTTTGTGAGACGTTGCAATAAATGGATTATTGTGCAATCAAACGTCTCGCAGGCACGGAGGCTCCGACCTCTTTGTCTACTACAATGTGGCTGTACCACAAGTTATGTCTAACATTGTAATGTATTGAACGTTCAGTTCATTTAAAATTATGTCAACTCGAGTTAAGTATGGAGTTTTTAGGACTTCGTTATTTTTGATTCGATATAATTAGCAGTATAAAGTTTGATAGGGCCTTACATTTGCCTTAAGTAAGGATTTCAATACTTTAAAATCATTATGGGTGTTCAGGCTCAGGTTAGACATGAACACTTGTGCAGCCAATTCAGATATTTTTCATAGTATTAACTAGTTTAGTGATCAGTTCTAATTAGCAATTAACTTTAGAACACCTTCATATAATCTCTGACATAGAGTCGAGAGCTATCTGTAAACTATTTCCAATCCATTAATTATATCGTAATTGCGTACACACCGCCATCTATCAGGCACTCGCGCCGACTACGCGTAGCTATGGCAACCGCTCGCTGATTGGCCACTTCTACTCTAGTAAAACGAGCCAGAACGGTGTAACCACCACCTGAGGCTACTCAAATCTGTGGCTTAAATAGTATGGTACAAGGTTTATTTTAATTAATCAGATATACGGTGTTATTGTGTTCGAGTTTTGTGCATTTGTATTATTAACTCCGCCCTTCTTAGTGGCATGGCGGACTGGGTTTTGTCTTGGCTGGGTTTGTCTTTTTGCGTCCGTTTTGTTTGTGTAATGTACTATTACACGTACACCTGAGTACGTAGATACAGGCACTAGTCTGTGAGGAGAGCTGTAGTTATGTAGCCTTACGAGCTAGACAAACGGACTGATTTAATTACTCGTATTAATTAGATTCAGTTTGTAAGAGTTAGTCTGGGATTGTCTAACTACGAAGGTAAGTCAGTACTTATTACGGTGTTATAGATTTTTCTATATTGACTCATATGTTTAGAATATTTTTAAATCTTCATCTTTGTAAGCAATATTTTGTAGTTGTGTGTGACTGTGTCACTGAACTCCAGTAGGTACGCGGGTCGATACTGGGCTTATTACTATTCATTTAAAAATATTTGGAGCAGTCAATACCAATACCAATTAGGTACGATAAAGAAATACGTACTTAATTAATTAAGACTGAAATTACTATGGACGGCGTCTTTTTGTTGACAAAATTTAAATGATAAATCTCAGTAACATTATCAATCCATTTAGCTATTTATACCATCTCATAATGGCCAGGCTAGAGCCGCAGTCACTACACAAGTACACAACCCGCGCGATGTCCGCGCGCCGTCGCCGTCGGTCGCCTGCTCGCGTTTCTAAAGAGCTATCTGCTGGATATATTTCTGTTAAGCTAAATACTTACTGTAAATACTAATTTAGTACGTTTTTGTTTGGGCGCCTATCGGTAGATGAGTAAAGTTACTAGAAAATAGATTCATAGTAGTAAAAAAGGTTTTATTTTTTGAAAGTCAAGATAATGGTCTCTGAGGACTTAAATAGTAATTCGAATAGTGAAAAGGACTTTTAGTCTTACCTAATTAAATGCAGAAAATAAATGAGAACACACGATACATAATCACACTCATTTTAATATAATAAACCTGTGTAGTAGCAATAATATGGTACTTAGATAGCGCAACTTTTATTATAGATAGCATATTTGCTGTAATCACCAAATTTTTGTATAAATTCAAGTATTTAATAACTAACTTTATTTAAAACAACAAAATAAGCGGTTACTTCGATCATTGTAATGAGTAAGCCAATTAAAAGTAAGCCAAAAAACATGTTCTATGCAGATTGATCCTATTCATTTACTTCTCCGGTACTATTAACGAAATACACTCGTAGCCTAGTCGATACACTCGTAGCCTAGGCATTAGCTCCTGGTTCACAGGTACCATAGTGCCGGTAACTCAGTAACACAAGCTACACAGCGCTCGCCGGCGGCGGTGATCACATTTCTCGCCAATTACGCGTCGATAGCGGATATATCCGCATCTCACGCTGCACTTCTCTAATTTGTGCCGTGTCCGATCTATTGCGGATATCTGGCTAGTTGGTTAGGTACTCCTTGCTTACCATGGAACATAGAACCTATTGCTTCATTTACATTTATAGATCGAGCAAATGTTAAGAAATACATTCTATTTTTTTTGGAAAATATGTTAAAACTGTTACCTAGTGCAAGGTTTAGCAATGTTTACTAAAATTGTTGTGTGGGCTAACTGACCAAGTTTAACTTAAAGAATATTACATTATATGACTGAAAGAATGCTACTAAAATCTTTGTCAACAAACATGTGATTTATCCATTAAGGTAATTAAATACATTCTTCACTGGGGATTTAGTAAGATGTAAGGTACGAACCTGTAATTCGCAACGGAGAATACTTATTTTTCTCCAACATGTCTAAATACCTACCTGCGTATTTTTGTTACGCTGTAAATTCTCATCTTAACTAGATGTATCTAAAGACCAGCAAACAACTGGTATCTTTTTCTTCGTTAGCCATTTTTAATCTTAAGCTATAGAATAAAGCAGCATCTAGTTCATTAAGTATTTTATAATTGAGTACTATTAACTATATACACGTTACTATTGCATCAAATTCTTAGTACTATTTAACAAAAATAAAATAAGGCAATCATGTTTCATGTTCTAAGTGTAGTAGCTAAAACACTTAAATATGACCTTAAAAATATTAGCAACCAGTACACCGAGGTATCGGTGAATCAGTATCAATAATGGAGGTAGCTCGGGCGCGCCGGCTCGTCCCCGTATCGCATCCGTGGCGCTCTCGAGACGTTGCCTGATCGC